ACATACATACACTTTTGTTTATTATACACTTACATAATTAATTATGTAACCATAACTATGTATTCAAATCTCTTTTATATATTGATAAAAGAAAACTTGCCCCATACTAGGATTTTCTCCTGTGTCATGGGTACGTTTACAAACATAAAGTTCACATATACATGATACCCAGACCTGTGACACATGTGAGAATTGAATTCACTACACATTGCACAGCAGCCGGTTACCCAGCTACCGCACCACCCATACAGTAAAAAATTACAACACTAAATATTTAATAACTAATAGACAATCTTTTGGGTAACTTATTTATTTGATGTGTTTTGCACTCATACGGAGTTAGTGGCACTAGCATTATCTACTGATCAACTTTTGATTTTAATTATTTCTGATTTTTTTTAAATAACTAATAATATACCTTCACCAATAAACATTACTCAAAATTATCAACTTTATTGGGGTCAATTTCTTGTTAATCTTGTTATCATTCCAATTTTAAATTATTTATCGTTGCATAAAAAAAGCAGAGAATCAATGAACTATATATATATATTTTTTAAATCCTTAATCTCTCTGTTAATCCAAGAACCTCAAGGACAACCCAGATATAGTAAGTTGAGATGCCGCAATGTAACAATTTATTTGATGATAAAAATGTAAATAAAATAAAGTTATGAATAGCACAACAAACTTTGTCTAACTTAGTTCGTATTAGAAACTCGAACAATAGCTTTGCTCAGTATCCTCTATTGTGCAAATAAGACAACGACAATAAACTGTAGAGCAGTAGTATTTTTGACAAGCCAAATCACGTAGGTGTAAATAAAATAAAAAATTAACACCAATAAATTCATTTTATAAGTCTTTATAGCATTATTTTTCCTAAATGGGTTATGTTTGCACTCGAGCAACGGCCCCAACGCGTTGTTCATAAAACGTTATCAGAGCGTCTAAATAAATCGCTTACCTAAATGCAGTCAACTCATGTGACTAAAGTAAAAATAAAATTGTAAACAAACTTCGAGTTTAGGGTGAGTTTTAAACACAATGTTTTCTTTCACACATTTCCCTTCTCATTGATAATCAGAATTTTTTGACATGAGATGACTGATGCCACTGCCACTTTGATGGACGTTTGTGTCGGGTCGGGAAATAAGTATGGAGTTCTAGTTCAGATATCAATAAAGGTTTATATGTAACTTTTAGATTTTTGGATAAATAAGAAAAAAATGTATGGACATTTTCCAAAGTTGAAAATATTAGTCAAGTCTTCTTCGAGTCTTCAAAAATGACTCTTCATGAAAATATAAATAGTGCGATTTTCGAATAACATATCCGAACGCATCTACTCAAAACAATCTACATTCCACATAAAAATATTCATAATGTACTCATACATACTTAAATGTACCTATTTGTTTTAATTAGAATAACAGATTAAAGTAATTTTAATATTTAAAGTAATAAAAAAATAATTGTTTAAAAAAAAAAATTCGAATTCACATTTTATGGTGAATCTTCGCCACGGAGGACTTAACGGGTTGCCGGGGCTCCGGCTCAAAGGGTAGGAGTCCGTAGGAGTACCAAAGGGGTGGTTTATAATTGGCGGGAAAAATTATTCGATGATTTTCCCGTCTTTAAAAAAACTGGTGAATGTTCCAGGATGGCCCACGAAACTTTTTGTTAGTTTTTTTACCATCAACATTTTGATAATATCACCGGTGACCGCTCTCACCCACTTTGTTATAAACCATATTTACGGTAGGTATAGAATACTTTTGCATCCATGGACAGGTGTGGTTATCTATGGTCATACGCATAGATGAATAATAGGGGATATGCCGCAAGTTGCATAATTATATACAATTTTGGCTATACAAATATCATGCAAATATGAAGCTCATCAACAAAAATATATCTGTCTCATTCTTACACGTTGTAAATTTCATATGTAAAAAGAGATAAGCATAAATCATAAACTTCAATTTCTGATAACATTTCTCATATGACGTCACCAAACTCCGCCTTGCGGCCCATTCCGCCATTTAAGAGAGACACATTCCGCTCATGTTTTGGGTAGATCATCTGTCAACAATACTGTTTTTGTCTGTGTCATCCCCATACATTTTGATTTCTACTCTCTCTACAAGCGCTAAAGTGGCGGTTGGTTAAAGGCCCCGGATACTAATGAAACTTCACATACATTTGAAGGCAGTTACAAGCTTTAAAATAACGTTTAAATTAAGTATTTAGAGCTCTTATTGAGAGTGTTGGGACTAATTGACGTATTTTTTTACTTAATAAAATAACTTTTAAGCTATGTATTATTTTGCTTCTTTTATTGCATAACAAATTTAAACTAATTCGGGCCTGATGAGATCCCACCCATTGTTTTGAAGATGTACGCCCCCGAGTTGGCCCCAGTTCTAACACGTCTTTTTGGCTCTCGTACTCCTCAGGCGTAGTTCCGACGTCATGGAAGACAGCTTTAGTCCACCCAATCCCTAAAAAAGGTGATCGATCTAACCCGTCTAACTACAGACCGATAGCCATAACTTCCCTCTTCTCGAAAATAATGGAGTCCATTATTAACTGCCAGCTCCTGCGTTACTTAGAGGATCATCAGCTGCTCAGTGACCAGCAATACGGTTTTCGTAAAGGTCGGTCTGCTGGTGATCTCCTTGTTTACCTAACGCATCGGTGGGCACAGGCGATCGAGTCTAAGGGGGAAGCGTTGGCAGTAAGTTTAGACGTGGCGAAGGCCTTCGATCGGGTTTGGCATAGAGCGCTTCTTTCGAAGCTTCCTTCCTACGGACTTCCCGAGAAATTATGCAAATGGGTCTCCTACTTCCTTGCAGACAGAAGCATTAAAGTCGTCGTCGACGGTGAATGCTCTGACTTGATGTCTGTAAATGCAGGTGTCCCTCAAGGCTGCGTGCTATCGCCTACATTGTTCCTCCTCCATATCAATGACATGCTGCAAATCAGCGGCATTCATTGTTATGCGGATGACAGCACAGGCGATGCCTACTACACCGGCCGCGCTAACATTTCTCGGGAAAACGTCATAGAGAGCCGAAACAGACTCGTGTCTGAAATCGAGACCTCTTTAGGGAGAATCTCTGATTGGGGTGGACTTAATTTGGTCCAATTTAACCCCACTAAGACACAAGTCTGCGTGTTTACCGCTAAGAAACTGCCGTTGGTCGTCTCTCCTCAGTTTCAAAGCACCCCCCTAACTGCCTCAGCCGGTATTGGAATACTTGGTGTCAATATTTCGAGCGACGTCCAGTTTTGCGGTCATTTAGAGGATAAGGCCAAATTAGCCTCGAGGAAGCTTGGTGTGCTCAATAGATCGAGGCAGTATTTCACCCCGACCCACCGCCTGCTTCTATATAAGGCACAGGTGCGGCCCCACATGGAATACTGTTCTCATCTTTGGGCGGGGGCACCCCAGTACCAGCTTCTTCCTCTGGACCGCATTCAGCGGCGTGCCGTTCGGATTGTTGGATGTCCGGATGTTTCAAACCGGCTCGACACTTTGGCAATGCGTAGAGATGTAGCTTCATTGTGCATTTTCTACCGCTTATACCACGGGGAGTGCTCTGAGGAATTGTTTGACCTGATACCTGCCGCATCTTTTCGCCATCGACCCTCACGATAGCATATGCATCCCCATCATATAGATGGTTGGCAGGCCACAACTGTGCGGTTCTCACGTAGCTTCCTGCCTCGCACAGCAAAACTGCGGAATGATCTGTCGTCGACGGTATTTCCGAACCGATAAGACCTTCAAACCTTCAAGAGAAGAGCGTACTCCTTTTTAAAGGGCCGGCAACGCACCTGTGACTCTTCTGGTGTTGCGGGTGTCCATGGGTGGCGCTGATCGCTTACCATCAGGTGATCCGTCTGCTCGTTTGCCTCCTATTCCATAAAAAAAAAATTCGGCATTCCTAAGAAGCCATGTACAAAATATGATGAGAATCCGCTTAACCATTTCAAAGATCTAGCAAAACCAAAAACGTTACCCCAACAAAATCTCGAATAACTTAGCAACCGATGATAGAACAAATACAAAATAAGGCACAGCATTTACTTCATCTAGACTAGACAACTAATTTTATAGCTAATAATTATTTAAATATTCCCATTGGAAAGAAAATGGTCTGGCTGGCTTGGAAAGAAAACGTTACTCCAGCAGGAAATGTTTCGTGAAATAAGTAATTAAAAACTATAAGCGCAACTAATTTAAAGATGTGAAACAATTACACAAGCCACAAAACTAATTATTTATCTTTAACGATTAAATGACCATTTTCAATAACATCTAGCCTGGGTAACGCACACCGTAATCCCAAAAAAAACAACTATCGATAAAATCACAAAAAAAGTGAAGAGTAGCACCCCTACTTGATTTTATGGTTAATCGGCGAATTTCAACTGGTGTTTTTAAAAACATCTCAAGCGTTTTCGTCTAATTGTTTACATAATATTCAGATAAAACAAGCCCCACATACACAAATCCCAGAAACAATTCTGGGATTTGTTTATGTTTTAATATTTCTTGGAATTTGGGTAGGTACTCGACAACTTGATTTTTAAATTTTAAAACATAGAATGGATGTGTATAATTTTAAAATAATGGGTGTTATAGAGTTCCCCTTTACTTATTATACTCTTTGGAATTGCTACTTGTACCGCCGTATGGCTGTACGTTTTGGTACCAGTGCCGTCGTTGTGTATTGTATTATTTGCGATGAGACCATTCTGGACTCGGTTGGAAGTCTCAACAATAATAACGACGGAAATCACTAGCTTTTTATCGTTATCTTTGTTATGGCCTCAGTTATGTTTCACCGTGTAATAAGCCAGGGATTACTACGCTAATAGAATCATTAAAGAAAATAAAGTAAGGAAATCCATACTGTTGTTATCTTGATTGGAAACTTGAACGTAATATTTTAATGCTCGATAATTGCCTGATAAAAAATAAAATTGAATGAAATATTTTTTTCTGTTTCACAAAAATGACAATTTTGACATATCAAATGACATAAGAAGTCAAAACATGAAAACAACAAAAGAAAAATAAACATGTGAACATCATGGCATTGTCGGCCACTTTAGTTGGGAGATAAAAACAACATTTTGAAGACAACATTTTCAAGTCACAACATTTTGAAATCTCCAGTCTTAACCGTGAATCATGATCGTTGCTCTTCAGACTTTGGTTTTTTTCCGTGAATCGTTGCTGTCGGCATTGGACGGTTTGTTACGGCCTTACTATAGGCACTTGACTTTAGCTTTTACTCGGAGTGGGAATGATTTAGAGGATGAGGAATCTGACGACCAAGTGTTCGCGGAGTTTGACGATGAGAAGGGTGTTATATTTTTCCCGCCGATGTACGCTCAGCGGTATGCTGCGGTCAGCGACTGGCTAATGGATGACCGTTGGTGCGGGAAGCTCGAGAAGGTACCTTTATTAATACCTGTACTTAAGTATCTTTTGGTGTACCTGCATAAACTTATCATTTTAAATAGTTTAAAAGTCACAGTCCCTAAAAATAGCATTGATATTTAATTATTTACGGTTATTTTGTTATTAATTACTTTGTAGGTAGGTGTGAAGGTTTATAAAATTTTTGCCACTAAATGAAATTGGCTAGATAATCTCTGTTCGGTTCTGTCAACAAGCTTAGTAAAGGAAAACTTTTTATTTGGGTTTACAAAATACCGAATTACAATTGTCTATGGAATATTTATCACTAAAAAGTTTATATTATCATTTTGCAGGTAGTGGATTTTGGCCACCATGATATGAGTTTTGTCAAGTATTTGAAGGAAGTTCCTGGCATCCGATATATACTTGGTGTAGATATTGAGACCATTCCTCTGAGATGTTCCTCTGATCTACTCGGTGGTGATGAGTATTCTCCGAAGAGGGAGAGCCCTTTGCAAGTTACTGTAAGTTTATTTTATTCATTTGAAATTGCATTTTTTGTGCTATTCAATTCGGTAGAAAAGTTTCATTGTTAAATATAATATAATTCTTATTAAATTACTCAATTACTTAATTTTAAGAAATGCTTAAGTATAGTTCTGTGGCCACAAATTAAAAAATGACAGAGATGGCATGATATTTAAGTACAACAATTGAGTAGCCTTCCAGTATTTGGGAGTAAGTAATTTTAAAAATGGCAGTACCTAATCTAATTTTATTGATTTGTTATTCTGTAGTGTTACATACATGTATTGGTTACAATAACTGCTTTTCCTACTGCCATCATAATTATAATATTATTATTTTCTTTTTTATAAGCACTTCTTCATCATTTTGTTTTTGTTTTCCAGCTCTTCCAAGGTAATGCAGCAGATCCAGATTACCGTCTAATTGGCTGTGACGCTGTTGTTGCAATAGAGATGATAGAACACATGCTGCCCCATGACCTGGAAAGATTGGTCCACACCGTGTTTGGCTTCATCAAACCATGGATAGTCATCTTTACTACGCCCAATGCAGATTTTAATGTCTTGTTCAAAGCCTTAGAGAAGAATGGACTCCGTCGGATGGATCATTTGTTTGAGTGGACTAGAGAACAGTTTAATGATTGGTACGTAACTTATTACTTAGATTTTATATCCCAACAGAAATATTGTATAATTACTTACTGGGAAGGCCTCAATGTTAGATAGATATTCAAGGTCATTCTTTAGATAATAAGCTATTTGGATTTGAATATCTGTTTGGTATGTTATGGTACGACCTGATTTTGAGTTAGATTAAAAACTGGACTTGATTCTTGTTATAACTAAATTTTCCTTATATGTTATCAAAGAATTTTCCATTCCCACATTTTTTACTATGTTTAGGTAGAAAGAAAAACAGTCAAATAAATTTATGTCAAATTTATTACCTTTTCCAATGTACTTTTTCGATTCTCGCACAGAGCAATTTTTTGTGTGATCCACAAATTGTTGTTTCGGGTCTGGGTGTTATGTGTTTGTGAACTTGTATATTTTGTAAACGCATCCACGACACAGGAGCAAAATCCTAGTGTCGGGCAATGATTTTTAAAAAAGTAAAGGAGAATCAAGGAAAAACTAAGATATCTTTATTCTACAAATATTATTAACTAGTTACTTCCGCGCGGTTTCACACGCTCTGCTCAGCTCCTATTGGTCGTAGCGGGATGTTTTATAGCCTATAGCCATCCTCGATAAATGCACTATGCAACACAAAAAGAATTATTCAAATCAGACTTGTAGTTACGGAGATTAGCGCGTTCAAACAAAAAAACAAACTTCTCCGCTTTATATAATAGTATAAGTTAACATTTTGTTTTGATGTTTACAGGTGCAGCAACATAGTAGTTAGGTATCCTAACTACACGGTGACCTGCCAAGGCATAGGTCCTGGTCCACCGGGAACTTTGCACCACGGCTGCTGCAGCCAACTCTGTTTGTTCACTTCCAAAAACTACCAGAAGCAGGCAGATCTAAATATCAATAGTTTGGCTCTGGTTGAAAGTAAGTGTTTTGTATTTCAACTGTATTTTTATATAGTATTATAAAACTGCCTCGTTGGCCGAGTGATCTCAAGTGCGACTGCCAGGCAAGGGGTCTCGGGTACGATTCCCGGGTCGGGCAAAGTTTTACTGGGTTTTTAAAAATCTCAATAGTAGTACCGAGTCTGGAATTGTGCCCGGTATATGGCAATAGGCTCACCCCTATTACAAGGGACTCATAACATAAATAGTGAAAAATGGGTGTTATATTGTACAGTGGTATAATGTGCACCTCTGCCTACCCCTTCGGGGATAAAAGGCGTGATGTTACGTTATGTTAGTATTATAAAAATAAAAATTATAAACATAATCTAAACACCATAACTAGTTATATAGCAGTAGAAGTAGACTGCCATTGGTTGAGTTGTTGTGCCACTACAAGTAATATGTCTCGGGTTCGATTCTTGGGCCTTGGGTCGGAAGAGTATTCCTCGGGTTGTAGGCAACTCTTTATTATAAACCTCTTTTGTAACTTGAAATTACGCGTGAAGCGTGATAGTAAAAATGGAGGTAACGTGGTGTGTTTGCGCTAAAATTTATAAATCGAAGCCCCACCTACGTCAGGCACCGCGCTTGCGCCAATAGTCGCCGCCGAAACGTTTAGCGAGTGAATGTGTATTTAAAACGCATAGTTTCTTGAATTCATTGTGGACAACAGCGAGCCCTAATCGGCTACAAAGGTTTTATTTAGTGAAAGAGCTTTGAATAACTAGGTACATCAATTTGCAAACTTATTGTTATACTTTTTCTGCAGATGCACCGACTCCCAATAACTTTAGCGATGTATTTGGATGTTGGGAAAGTTCGGTGGGTACCAGGCAAGAAGTGGAACAGGCGCCGACTGGAGCAAAACCTGAAAGGTATGGAGATTTCTAAAATTACTTACATAATTATATTCTTGGTATCTAAAGGTTTGATTGTGTAATTTTACTGTCAAATCGTGTGTGTAGTTTACCCTTCCCCAACAGTCCTCAAAAGACCGGTAACGATTGCTTACCATCAGGTGAACCGTCTGCTCGTTTACTGGCTTATCCCATAAAAAAAGTTTATGGCAGGCTCCCTATTTCAGCTTCTTCTACTTCCAAAGCTTTTAAATAAATAAAGATAAAAAAATCTTCTTCTGGGACTAAAGTGGGGTCTAATTGTTGAATATAAACCATTCCCAGACCCCCTTGAACAAACACAAAAAAATTTATTGAGTATGCACGTTTGTCTACTCTTTCAGGCCTCCGGGAAATAAAATGCTAGTTACTTCCGCGCGGATTCACCCGCTGTGCTCGGCCTTTATTGATGTTTTATAGCCTCAGGCCTTTCTTGACAAATCTTTATTTATATAATTCTTCTGTGATTGTGTATGTCACTAAACTTCTCTCAAACGACTGGACCGATTTTGATGAAATTTTTGTGTGTGTTCAAGGGGGTCTGGGAATGGTTTAGATTCACAAATCAGCCCGGCAGATGGCGCTGCAATCGATATTTAGGTTATTTATCCTAAACAGTTGAACTAATTTGAATGATTTTTTGTTTATACATTCAAGTGGATATGCAGGACAACGTCTGTTGGGTCCGCTAGTAGACTATATAACACAAAAAAAATTCAAATCGGTCTAGTAGTACCTAAGATTAGCGCGTTCAAACAAAGAACCTCTTCAGATTTATATAATAGTTATGATAATAGTATATAAGATTTGATAAGGCAAAAAAATAAAATCATATATACTCCGTCTGTTTAGGTAGTTAACTATTTGTAAACAAACCATAAAAAGAGTTCTTTGTAGTTGACATTTCCATGACTCAAAATACTTCATAAGAAAATAAAATTGTTTCCATTTTTACGACAGTTTTCTCTATTAAATGTTATGTTTCTGTTCCTTTTCACTTATTTCTTAGTAAATATTATATATATCGCTTGAGCATAATAATTTAATAACATTTTTTATTAAATAATATATTATTTCATTACAATAGACACCATAAAGAGCCTAAAATCCCAGGTATCCAAAACCTTTCTTTATGAACGAAGCATTAGATAATGTTGTCAAATTAAAGAGTACAATTAAGATGTAGCGCGACAATGAAAGTAGCGTGTATTACGTTTAGTCGGTTAATCAGGCGCCATTGACAGCTCTCTCGTCGTTTGCGCTCGCGTTCCTATTTTGTTGAATTTATCTTGTTTTTGTTTTGTTTTTGTTATTACGTTATTTAAGTTTAGGTTATTCATCGTTTGTAATTATTGTGTTCAAATATATTGAAGAAACTTGGCCCAAAGACACATATCCGTACAAGAAAGAAATCCGTACATCAGATTCAGAATAGTTTCTATTTAAACATGATAATGAAATAGACCCATAGGCTAGGCTCTTGTACGATTTAGGCATTTGTGCTTGTATGTGTGTGTGACAAATGAACGATGATAAAGTGAATTTATTTTAAATTAAAACACGAGAAATATTTGAAGTAATAGAAGGTTAAGTATCTCTGTGTCACGTGGTTTTGTTTGTTTACCTTTAGTTAATTACCTAAACAGATGGACTATAGGTACTATTTTTTTTTAATTTAACTTTTTCTTCGATCAGTTGTTCTCATAAATTCGTAACTTTCCAGTGCGGAATCTTTAACTGAGATAATTTACCCGGAGAAACAGTCACACATGACGCTTGTTATATCTTCAACTCTATGCAACTCAATGCCTTATTCTGATCCTACATTCGCCATGGAGCCTTACACTTACAAAGACCAAACTCTTCAATGTAACCTCGATACTGAAATAGGAAAAAGTTTTCTAATGTTTGACTATGAAGATTATTATCATGTACTGGTACCAAGGAGGCGGGTCCAACATAAAGTGTACGAAATTGAAGATGTCTGTAGCAGGTTCTGTGATTTTTATCTGTTCAAGTCATCTTAGGTTTGGTGTTGATAGTTTGTAAATTGGTATTATGGTTTTTCATGTTAGATGTATGAATATGAAAGTCCAATAAATAGTTTTAGTTTCATTCTCACAGTAAAATGCTAGATATAGGTTTAGTATTCGCATTATTTTAAAAAAAATGTAATTTACATAGACTAATGATACACTGCGTCGTTGGCCGAGTGGTTGCAAGTGCGACTGTCGGACATGGGGTCTCGTTTCGGTTCCCGGGTCGGGCAAAGTATTACTGGGTTTGAAAAAAATCTTAGTAGTGGCACGGAATCTGAATTTGTGCAATAGGCTCACCCCCTATTACATGGGTGTTACATTGTACAGTGGCATTAAGTATCGTAATGTGCACCTGTGCCTACCCCTTCAGGGATAAAAGGCGTGATGTTATGTTGTAAATTACATAGAAATGGCAATATGGTGTATGTCGTGACATCCCTATGTCCATTACATGTTCATAGTAGTTATTGTTAATTTTACCATGAGTAAACCAAACGAAAACAGCCCTCGTTAAAGTGTTAAACAATTTTATATCACATTTTTTTATCTCCAGGCTGAACTGCACAACACTACAGGTAAAGAAGTTCTCGAAGACCACACAGAATTTGATGGCTAAAAACAAGATAGACTCTTTAGTCCATACCAGAGAGGTTGTCAATGAGATCCGACATCTCACTAAGACCTTGAACTTCAACAAGTTCAGCCGGCCTGAAGATGGAAGCCATATTTGGAATAACATCAACTGGGGTGACAACGCGCCATATTGGAACCAGTTTTATAAAATCGTTAGGGAATACATCTATCCGTTTGAGGTGAGATTCTGTTCAACATATTTTGTTTTGCTGTGTATCATTAACTTCTGTGGCGCCATCTGGTTGGCGCGAAAATGAATACCGCAACTGAATTGACTACGAATTCATTTTACAGTGTACCTATTTTACTTCTTGTTTATGTAGGTAAGACTTGTATCACGCGGATCGCTCTTTAAAAATGTCGATTTTCCTTGATCACAGGTAGAATCTGGGGGCTCTGTCTTGAATCCAATTCCGATCGATCGACATTGATATTGTGTGTTGCAACACTAGCGCTCGTTGCATTCCTATTGCGTGGATATTTAATGAACTACATATTATTGAGTGTGGCTTTACATTCCGTACTCTGAATGCTATTTTAACACCTACGATAGGGGTTGTATTGACTTTAAATAAATAAAATACCCATAAACCTATAAGAATGGTCAAAAATATATTCAATGCAATTACCTACTTATAAACATTATGTTAAAAGATGCTGTCAAATAAACGCACCAAAGTAAAGTATTATAATATGTCGCCACCTTAACCATTTTACGGTTTTCTAGGCGAAATCCGACGAAGCTAGAATGCTGGATCTGATATCTGAAGAGATCAACCGTCTGATTGATATGCAGTATGATGAGGAGTTCTCGGTCGACGTCAACAGGCTGGAGATTCCGTTGACTGATCTCATGGCGGTCGTACATCATATCACTACTGATGTCGATAGAGTACGGTTAGTACCTACCCTTAACATTGTTAAATTTGTCGTAAGTTATGATATTACCGGTAACTTCTAGTGATATCCAACTTTAATAATTGATAGAAATGCATGGTAATGTTGGCTATTGAATACCCTGGTTGTTTCGATTCTTCCGGAAGGGAAAATATAATGAGCTTTTTAGAGTTTAAAATCATCAGTAGGTACAAAATAGCAACATTCTTTATTTGCATACTATATAATTTACTATTAATTCTTAATTAATATTAATTAATACACATTTCTCATAGTAATCGATAAATATCGACGTGTAAAAGCGCTATTTCCTACTTTATCAAAATATAGAAACAAGTTTTATTTACAACATATGTTTTGCCTTTCGCAGAGACCTCCTGGAATGGAATGGCTATGAGGTCGTGAACGACGTGGTGATTCATTCACGCCTCGTGGTGGACAACACTTCAATCGGCACGCATGATGAGGAATGGCAGGACAATGACACGTTATCTGATGTAATTCTATTCTGAAATAATTATGTATTGTCTGGTAAACGTATGGCGACTTGGAAGTATCTATTAACGTGCACTTTCAGTAACATACATACATAAGTTCACGCCTGTCTCCCATGGGGGTAGGAACGAACTAAGGAACGCCAATTACTACGATCCTTACATACCTCTTTCGCTTTATTAACAGTCATCAATCTTTCATGCATGCTCGTCGGTTAAGGGTACTTTTAATTTGGCCCTTCTTTAATATATCGCCAATCTGGACTTTCAGTAACCTATGTGCATGTAACCTTAATAATTATGGAAATGTGTCTAAATTCTATCTTAAGTAGGTCAGCGAGACTGATCATAGTTCATTGCTAGTCAAAGTAGCTGAGGTAATGTGCCTAATGGGTAATTCTGAGGGCTTAGTACGAGTTAATTTTGCGTTAAAAGTAATCGAAACAAGAACACGTTCGGCGCTTTAATTGGTTGTTTCATTGGAACCGGCCAATCACAGCGCTGAACGCATCTGTGGTTACATAATATTCTGTTTTCCCACCGATTTGAGATGTTCTGAGCCGCCATATAGTTTACATCCGAATGTTTGAGTATACAGAGATAGGAATTAGTATTAATGCCATGTATTTAACGTTCTGTTTCGTTTTCTGCGTAGAATTACTTTACAAATTGCTTAATTATATGATAAAGGTATGCATATATTCATACATACATACATTTAAGGTTTTAAGCTTGTCTAGGTACTGTAGGCGTCTATCTTTGGGGTTCAAATCTGTTATGAACCTTTATTTTGTATGTGTAATCTTTGTGTTAGATTTGAGTTAGAATGGTAATTAAAGTTGTCGAGTATTTTCATTACTTCATTGTAAGAAATAAGTTTATATTTTATTAGCATGTAATTTCTCTGTCGTGGTAAGTCAAATGACTGATATTATAGCTGTAGGTATACTTTAATTTATTTTGTTTTTAGTTATATTTTTGGCAGGTACCGATAGAAATGTTAGACCTCTAACGCGATCATTGACACGCCCCTTTTTATTGTTTATTGGCATCTCTTAGAGAATTATTAATTTAGTTTTTTTTTTTATCATAAAATAGTTTATTATTTATTACCTACAAGGTGCATCACCTACTTTGTTGATTTTAACAATTTTTTATTTGTTTAAAACTTATATTATTCTTTAATGTTATTGGTTAAGCTTTCGTGTTGTATTTTAAGTAAAACTTATTATTACGTAGTAGCTTAAGCGTCACAAGTGATGTGCTTTTTTCATTAAATTTTATTCAAAATTCTAATTCTATCGTTTTATTGAATTCCTTGGTATTATAATATCAAAAAGAAGTCACCATGTCAGCGAAGTTACGTGTGTAAGATAGTTTATTTTAATTTCGATAGAATAACTTGAATTTCATAATATTTAGGGTCCATTTTTCCAACGCTAGATAATAACTGAGGAATATTTGACAATTGTTCCATACTAAAAACAGTCAAATGTCATTTTTATTCTGCACTAAAGAATTAACTGATGATTGAAAAATCAGCCCTTCGTATTATGTGTTTTGTATGCAGGTAATAGCTAATAATAGAACACCGATAGGTATTTATTTTCGTTGAAACGTCTGCTAACATTTTTGTGCCTACTAGAGAATGCTAACGTAGCGCGAAATCCTATTGCCAAATCACTGTAGCTGTCAAAATTAATTGTCCAATGAAGTGACACTACGAACATAAACAGAACGTCAATTGGGCCAATAGGACCTCACACATTAATGAAACGTAAGTTCTCATTTGTTTTGTTTTAATCATAGCTTTTTGTTTGCAGTGGGATACTGACATTCATTCCACATCAATGTCAGTTGGAAGTACGATAATACCGGACCTCCCTGGTTTGAAACGTTTCTTTTTATTTTATGTAATTTTGTAATGGTTGCTAGGGGTATTTTTGTAGTTGTAGGCTGTTGTAGTTAAAGTTTTGTTGTGTTTGTAAGTCTAAGTAGTTATTTTTTTATTAATTTCCTTGGCGGGAACGCAGATTTACGCTAGCCGATGACTGCCGATGAAAAACTCTTGAAGGCAAGTCCTCCGCTAACGTAGGTCACTGCCATAGAATAATATTAATATTTCTGTGGTCACCGCTCACCTACGCGGCAGTTAACGGCTTAAGGAAATTAGTATCTTGTATTAAAATTCGTAAAAGAAAGAAACTTGTACTTTACCGCTCATTGAAAGAAAGAACCACAATTCATCATCAGCATCATCATTTTATTTTATCAGAAAAATGGATATATTAATTTGAACAAATTAATGGAATATATTTAACCATTTCTTCCACAAGGACGTTGTCTACGTCGCGCCTTAGACCAGAAAGTGCGCAGTTTGCGAACAATGTTAATTGCTGATGAAGATATCACAACGGAACTGGATAGGGTGGTCTGTAGACTTATGAGGTTAGCCCTACAATCTAGTAGGGGGCGCCAGACACCTCCCCCGTCTAGGTGGATGCAATGCAAACTGCTTGATCTCCTAACCCTCACGGAGAAGGCTATAGAAAGGCGTAAGAAGCAGTTTATTGAAAACTATCCTATCTTGGCTATAGGTATGTGGGTAATACATCATTACTTTCTTAATAGTGGTACACTTTGTCTTCGTAAAATTCTTAGAAGTTTTTGTAATAAACTCGATCGCGAAAAGGGTTTTTATATGGTTTTCGTTAATGTTGGTATTTATTATTGAACAGTATTATGATTGTAGATGTATAGGTACTATTTGATTCGATTTTACTGGATTTGTATTTAATTTGGAAGTTTCGGATAAAATCTCGTGTAGATAAAATGCGAATAATCTCGTATAACATTAATGAATTTGTTTATGAATGTCATTCTTTTTTCTGACGATATTTTTTTCTTAGCACTAAATGATTGAACTTTCAGAGGAAGTTAAACAGCCAGATGTTGAACTAGATCAAGATACTAGAATGTAAGTTTTAATATCTAATTTATTTCATAGCAGTTCGTAAAACACCCTTAAAACCTTCTGCATACAATTTATTTTTGCTTACAGAAAAGAAATCGTTGAGAAATATCGTCATCTCATACAACCAATAGGTAATATTGATAGGAATATCGAATTATGTACTTCTTAAGTTACTTTTCACCTTTTAAATTATAATTATTACTTTTTATTAGAAAAAACGACGAACACGGAAGATACAAATGGTCAGAATTCTGACGTAGATATTATGGAAGATGAATTTTTAAGTACAACTAGTAACGAGTTCTTGAAAGGCATGTTCATTTAATACTATGTATTAGCTTTATTTCTTTAATTGAAACTTTCATTAATTAATTATTTCGAAAAAGTATTTAATTTGTTTATTTGGAAACATCCCCATTCTTAGTTTATTGTTTTCATGATAGCAAAACTATTTCCAGACTATGAATATGCTAAAGATATTTCTCCAAGTTTGGTTATACCTCAGCCAGTATTCAGTACGGAGAATTTCGAATGCACAGTGTCGCCAACTGTAGACGAGAATCCATTAGAAAGAACTAAAGCTTGGTTAGACGATGATATTGAAGATACTACATTCTCCAAACATGAATTAAATTACGAAAACATAAGTTCTGGTGACACAGACCATAGTCCTACTAATACAAGGCAAAAGCCCAAGAAAGCAAGCAAAAGACAGAAAATAAACAAAAGAGATTCCAAAGAATTTAAAGCTGAATCAAAGTTGTCATCTCCAAGCAAAGTTTCTTTCAAATTTAAAATTAAACGTGATGATAAACATAAAAAGAAGAATGGCAACACAAAGACCATGAAGAAGACACCCAAAAAGAAGCCAAGTTATAACACTTTGATCAAGAATCAGTATTCATCATCTGAATACGATAGTTATCCGATTAATAATACGAAGAGAAAAAATAAAGAGAATCAGTCTTTTAATGTGTCGGCATCAAAACCGGCAAGTAAACAACTAAGGTTATTTTCTATAGTAATAGTCCAATTAACATTTCATAAGTAGTGATGATTTCAGATCCCAGAAAGTTTAATAGAACTTTGTCACCCAGAATTGAAGGCTGACAAAGGTGGCCAGCCACGTATAGCAACGAATAATACTACTGACGTTAGCCGTAACATAGTTATTGCTAACATGCCCGGATGTGACATCTCTGCCACAGAAGAAAGTTACCTTGTTGATATAGTCATGCAAGACTTTGAGGAAACTGTGGCGTTACGTAGAACTGTAGGGACGGATGCAGAAGAAAAACCTATTGAAGCTAAAGATGACACTGGAAGTATAAACAATGATTTCGATGAAACATTGTGTCCCAAACATGAAGTGAGCACGGAGAATGTACAGTCACAAACTATTTTTCTTAACGGTAAATATTTTTTTATCTTTAAAATATATCGTGTCTACCGTCACAGTCGTTGAATCCCATGCTCCTTATGTAATGAAGTAAAGTTTTTTATGTTTTTAATTTATTTTGATATTGCCTCAATTTCAATAACTTTCTTCTTAGACATAAACGAACCCAGTACGTCAAAGGGAATTCGTCACAATATTAGCACTGACGTACAGTGTGGACCTGATACTTTCGCAACTTACCCAATGCTATCCGCATCTACATCCTTAGTCAAGATACCGCCCGTATTTACCGCGGGCTTCAAAATTCGAGAAGTTAGTGCTGACACTATAACGAAAGGGACAGATTTTGGTACATCTACCCAAGATACCAACACCACAACTATAACACCAAGATTGAGATCGGTTGGAATTAAAATAAAGGATTCTGATGTTAATTTGCATGCTAAAATTGAATCTTGTACCATGACCGTACAAGATTTTATTCTTCAAACGTCTGAAACGTTTAGTCACTCTCCAAGACGCAGTTTGGACAGAAACAGCATAATATCGTCTCCTGAAACAAGAATGTTGAAAGCCATATCGAGTAACCTGAAAACTGAGGATTCTGGATCAGAATTTTGCGAACCAAGCATCGCGAGTTCATCAAAAACTCGTACATTTTTTGTAAATACGTCTATAAATGCAAGTCGAGTTATGATTAAGTCTCCTGTGAGCAAAGATGTCATAATAGAGGCGAGTTCTAGCAAAAATCTACGTCCTAGACTATGTTGTGGAGGTGTCCATGTCCACAGCTTTAGAGATAAAGAATCTTCTGAAGATGTTGTTTATCAAGGACAGTGGCAGCGCCATAAGCCTAAGGCGAATACACGAAAAAAGTCATGCAATTTTACATCTTTAAGAAAAGCCAATGAAGCTGCCGCAAAGAAAAACAGAGAGATTTCAAAGGTGAAAAAAGTAAGTTCCAAGGAAAAGGTTGTTAGGAGAAGACAAGACAAAAAACAGATCGATGCAGAAATAAAGAAACCCATTCAAGTGAGAAATAAAGAACCTAATAAATTAAAAAAAGATGAACATAGCCAAACCAAAAAGCCTTCTGTTACTAGTACATTATCAAGCACAGTTAAAAAGATTCCTAAGCCAGTAAAGACTGTTAAGGTAAATAATGTTTCCAATATTATGAGAAGAAACTATGGCATTGTTGATTAATTTTACTTTTATATTACAGGTTGCATCTAAATTAGGAATGAGGTATTATGTCTTTTTGATTGTATGCAATATTAAAAATTACACATATTGTACAATATTATTATTTTTCTAGTGTTATCTCAAAGAACACAAAATCGACGTTTACAGTCAAGAAACCAACTATATTGTCAAATGCAGCTATTAAAAAAGACAATGATAAACCTCAGAAATTAAAGAAAAGTTACATACCCTTATACTTACGCTTACGAAGAGCTGCACTGTTATCAGACAGCGACAAAGAGAACCTTAATCAAAATATAGATTCTGCATGTGAATCCCCCTCGGACAAGGAAAATCGTGAAAAAGGGGTGAACAAAGTGCCTACTAAGAGATTGATTACAAATGACATCAAAAAGGATTTACTCAAATTTAGCAACGAAGTACGAGAGAATGTTAGTTACTTTGTTTTTCGCAACGAATTAGAAAACAATGTAGAATCACCAGAAGATCTATCAAGTGAGAGTACTGTAGATCCCAGTAAAAGTACTCCTAGGCCTTTGGAAACTGCGAAACGTTCCAATAGTCCTCAGTCTATGAATAGTTCCACTTGTTCATCTCCAAACAGTATAGCTACTGTTAGGGCAGCCACCACACGGAGTAAGAATATGTCCCACAGGAGACATTCTGCATCATCTTACAAAAGTAATTTAACTACAAATAGTGATTCAGATAGTGCACCAACAATGAAAAAGGTTATCAAAAGGTGCAAAAGTGCCAAAAAGACTGAGGCTAAAGAAAACGTTCCAGAATCAACACAAAACACAAACAAGTTAGCTTTTAACAATAGGCACAAAAATGTTTATATAGCACAAATTAAAACTGAAGGGTCTCCACCGCCCAACACTTTGTCGCGACATAAGACACAAATAGCGAATAAATCAAATATCAAAATAGCTGCACCGAAAGACAGCGACGAAAAACGACGCACAAATGACCCTACAGTGTCAAAGAAAAAGTCAGTAAATACTGATACGTCTTCGGCATATGAAGATTTTATTACAAGTCAATCAGATTCTTTCGAGAGTTCAGATTCCGCGAATATGGTTCTTGTGTTGGAACCACAAGTAAATTATGATAATATTATGGATAAGCAAAATATTTCATATGTTCGAAACGAACGATCTGCGGAATGTGAGTTAGATCCTACCAGTCATTTAGTACCAGAATGGGTACAAAATTCGAGTTTACATAGCCACGCAAGCAACATTCGTGACTCTGTAAGACGGATATTGGAAGAGACACTAGATTTAATTATTAGCCCAGATGACCATAATGTCCATCATTTAGATTCTAAAACGGTCATTGAAAATAGAGAACAAAATCGTGAGGCTCGTGAAGACAGAGAAGACCCGTCAGATGTCAAATTAGCCGCTGAACCTATCGAAACAACACAATTTTTAGAGAATGATACAGAGATTGCTTTGAAGAGAACCTTCGACGCTGTTCCTGGTGTTGACTCTGAGACGGTCAGCTTAAGCTTAAATGATACAAGGTTAACAGTTGCTGATTTGGATATGCTATCATTTGATTCGATCACATCAGTTTCAAAATACTCTGAATATTTTTCGGCTGATAACGAAACCAACTTGTCTTTAGAGACGGAACTGGCACCGACCATATTATCGCAAAATACGACTTCTGTGCGGGACATATTTGAACGGAAAGAACCAAACATGATTCAGGTACGAAATAGACCCTAAAGTGTAATATCCTACAACTCATTATACTTTGATTATACTGATCGTAACTTTATTTGATTAATTTTAATGTTTTCGGCTTATTCACGTAACTATTGGACGAGGAACTCGACTAGATTGATTATTTGATATTATAGAATACGCCGGGTGCACTAGCAGTGCAAGCATTCAGTGGATTTTCCCTCGACGTCGAGCCCGTAGCTGGCGACCAACCTGATCCAGTCGCAGTTATAGACTCGGAAACAGGCAGTCCAGCGTTAGAGTTTGCTAGACAAGCTGTACGTATAGTCATTATTAAAGTGTCTTATATTTTACAATTTGAAAAATAAACCGTAATCAATTTGTCTTCATATCTGTTTTTCAGACGTCAGAAGAATTATTTATATCGGGTAGATCATCAGACAGTTACGAGTCAGGTCTAATAGATGATGATACTGTAGTTCCGAATTGGTTGTTTCAACTTATCAGTCAGCAACAGTCTGTAAGTTTGATGTTTACCCAAATATTTTACAATCCCTCTTTTTATTGTTATTGTTAACGTAAATCTAAACTTCTTAGTTTTATGCTGAATGGAGCGCCTAGAATATTTACGTTTTTGTTTTCAGGTACTCCATTAAGCATAACGAAATATAAAGTGCCTGAGCGACCCTTACAAACACACCCATATACCTGATACACCGTAGGGCATGCACTCTCCGATTGCGAGGGCTGCATACTATATTTATTAAGCTTTGATTAGGTGGAAGATGATCGGCAGCCAAACCTTCTTGGTCCTGCGGGCGCACCACCCAACGAACCGATGTATGACGCGAATGGAAACGTCATTGAGCCCTCCATGATTGGCGTCGGTGCTGGCGCAGGTGACGGACGAGGCATGCACAGTGACCACTCGCAAGATAGCTCGGGGAGAGGCACGTCACTTAGTTCCAGTGACACCTCATCAGGACCGCAGAGTGAAGTCAGCGTGAGTGGAGTCTTGATGTTAGAATTAATTCAAAAATAATTGTATCCTAAAGGTATTGGGAATTTCATTACCGCTAGGATGTTTCGAATCGGTTCTTTCATAATCGTATCATCGTCATGTTTTTAATCTAACTTTGTGCATCAAGAAAACGTTTTGAATAGATTGCTTTTTGTTGGCAGACCATTTTAATTGACCCAGCATTTACAACTCCGTTCGATCTCCTACGGGATCCTATGTCCAGTTCTGCGGTGTTGTCGACTGAGCCTCACTCATCTGATCGGACTTACAGAATAGACAGTAAGTTGTAGATAAAATTTTATTAAATTGTCCTGATGGGCATTGCAATTTGCAATGTTGAATCGCAACATCGCAAATTGCACACAAATTACTAAAATATTCTTTAATTAAAATGTATTTTCCTAATGTTGAATACGTGTTTCTTATCTCTTCTATGAAATGTATGATTGAGTATTCTTAACATTATTTGACAAATTCTTTGTCAAAGTGGGCAATCGTGGATGTTAGGTGACTTTTTAAAAGTTTTCGACCAAACGAGTAGAAATAGTGTGGCCACAGCATTACACGCGTTGTTTATTAGTAGAGTATTTTTGTAAGGAAAACAAATACTTGGTTCATTTTTCATGCTAAAACTTCGATTGTAGGTGACCTTCGCGATGACAGAACGAGAATTCTAAACGGAGCGAGTGATGTTGACGCCGATGTGAGCTCCATTGATACGGATGTACCTGATCTATCTGATAACTGAACATTATCTTACATTGTTTGAAGTCATGGCATTCTGTACAAACGAATAAAAATACCTTCACAAGTATTTATTGTACTGTGTTATTATGATGGGGGATATGTACAATTTTAGGACAATTTCTAAATTAGAAGTCGTATGTTTTGGGTCATTTAAGTAACCTTCAAATGGGTTCATTGTTTAAGAAAACCTTTGTATCTGTTTGTACAGCTTTGCCCGACTTCCAGTGTGCATGATATATGATTTTTCGAGTTTGCTAAGGGTGGATTTTGTGATACCGGGCGAAATTTCAGATTTTTTAGGAAAATGATGTTGTAGTCGGCGCCTCGGCGCGTTGTAGATATTGGTGTTCAAATAAATTATTTGTTATCTTGGTAGTCAATGGTTTTATTTATTTAGTGGTAGTAAAAATCTAAGTCTGACAATAATAATAACATTTTCAATTACGTGAGTTTTAGCAGGACTATTTTTATTTTTTTAATTCCGTTTATAACTATATTCCTAGCGAGATAGTAATAAATCGCTTTCGTATAACTATGGTCCAGTATATAATTATGTCCCTAGGGATATAACTTTATTACGGCTTTATCTATCTTACTGCGACATATCCTCTTGTCTGTTGAAAGTTGCGAGTATGATGTGTTTTATACCGGATAAAAGATATATTTCAACAGATAAAAGGATAACTACACCAGTTTTTTAGCCAACCGTAGCAAGTGTTTACTCTCCCTGCAGTAAGTATCTACGCCCATCGCGCATATCTACGCTCACCGTAGCAAGTCTACGTTTACCGTAGTGTCTACGCTCGCCGTATCAAGTCTACATCCATCGTAGTATCTAATCCTGCCGTAGCAAGTATTTGCGCCCGCCGTGGCAAGTCTACGTTTACCGTAGTACCTACGCCCGCCGTAGTATCTACCTGCTGTAGCAAGTTTCTGTGATTACCGTAGGAAGTGAACCCATTGCGTCCAAGGTCACTCCTACCCTCCCCCTCCTCCAGAAAAGATGTAGTTCATGGAGCAGAATAACTAGGGGTGTTAAAAATTTTGTTATTTGTTTGCTAGGACCTCTAGTTTTTGAGAGCTTTCGAGATTTTCAACTGGTCAAGAACTAGACCAATGCTGAATATTTTTTAGGTAAACAATTACGGGAAGTATTCAATATTGACTTTAGAAATGTTAGCATGATTTTTGATTTAGAATTATGAACTTTCTAAACTCAATATAATAATAACACACATTTATCGAGGAAATGTCTTTTTTGCATTTATTCATATTGTACAATCTTATAATATGATTCATTCTGCAAAATTTTACAGGCGAGCAAGAATTCATATATAAAACAGTAGCTCTTTCGTATTGTACATAACCATTTTACCAGTATAGTGAAAACATGCGTATAGTTTTTTTTAGTTTTAGGATAATAAATTACTTAAATACTAATTTAAGTTTGGTTCTTTATTAATACAATATCAATAGGATTGCACTATCCTGTAAAGTTATTGGAACGTACCAAAAAACATTCTATGGTGCTTCTCTCGACGCCGATGAACTTTCTATGCTAAATTTACAATTATAATTATAACTTTTAATATAAAACAATTTCTTGTGAAGCGATTACACAGATACAAGGCAGGCATGACATATTGGCTCAGACTTTCTCATCTCACTTCATTAGTTCAATTTATTCGATAATTTAGTAGGTAACGAGCACACGAGCAAATACCGTAGTACTATTTAAATGAAGTTGTCAGCTGAACGTTGTCTATCGCAAATGAACGGCTCGTCTGCAACGTCTCTCATGAAGGAAGTGAGCTAAGAGAGTGTTTTCATTAGATACAATTTATTTATTAACAATTTTATTATACGTCGTTTATTAACTGCTGCTGTTTGTGTTCGTACTTTATTTATTCATATCTATTATATTACCAAACTAATTTATTATTTTGAACGTAAACCGCTTGTTATTTGTTATTCAATACTAGTGTCTTGAACACGGAACTTTAGAACGCATTAGAACAATTGAAATGCGACTTATTTGTAGTAGTTTAGTTAGTATTACATCAAATATTTTCATTATTATTTAAGGCAGTGAAACACCCAACTTAAATTGAAGGACAGTTGGGGACGAGATTACCTAGCTAAGATTAACTAAGTAACATATCACTAGACATTTTCACAGGCGACCTCTACACAATGGTCGCTTTATATTTTACAATATTTACACATCTTAAACACGTATGTTAGTGAAACATTGTCGTATCAATACGAGGGAGTCACAAACATTAAAGCAGGACGCGGTCGGTACTCTATATACCACTCAGTCATCGAAAGTCCATCGGCTTATTGTAGATATCATCCTAACACCCCGATTACAAATGACAAAACGAAAATACCCATACGTCTATACAATAACAATATAAATATTTCTCATGAGTCAATCTTGTCAAATAATAAATCTACATAGAAGAAATCTAACACTCTGAAATAAAGGGCAACAATTTTTATAATCTGTGAGACACGCATCCCTTGCGAACACTTTTTAAAAAACAATTTTTATTTATTTCATTTATTACGACTAGATTAGCATTTGTAATTATAACATTAATAATATCAATTGTTCAAAACGATAGATTCACATATATATGTGGAGTTTAAACGGAATTATTAATATAGGCGTATTTATTAACAAAGTATAGGTACTATAATAATGGACATACTGCACAAAAATGACACGAGTCGCGTTTCAGCGTAGACACTTTGTACTAGTTAACTATAACAGAGGTAAAATATAAAAGCTATCTTATAACCCGTTCCTGCCCTTCGCAACAAACAACAATGATCAAAATATTGAGGGAGTAATATCCGATTCGACTAAAGGTACCGACGAGCCGCGTGTTTGGAATCTCCTTTGTTCCATCTCTTTTAAAACAACGCTCATCCGAACCTTTCCAGTGTTGGCATCATACGTCTATATAGAAAACTGAAAACTATTTCGATATTCAGTGCTCGTACTATCACTAACAAAACTGGTAAATATTAGAAACATCATTTTTTAACGTTTTTATACTTCATTTATCGGCTTAACACTTTGACGATGACACTTAATCCATCTAAAGTCGACTATCCTTAATATTTATTGGTTTCTGCCAAACACGCGTCGTCCCTTAGAGAAATGAACAACACCCTATGCAATCACACAGTTCTAATAATATTCTCATTTTTTCATCATGTTATCACAGAAAATCATGTATTTACAATTTTGTCGTACTAAAGTAACCTACATCATGCTTTGCAACAAATGTATTTGATGGTGTTGAACGATTTCTTCTTTGACGCGACTACTGTACTGGACACACACACTGACATATTCATAGTGAAGTTTATAGATTAGTGAACCGTATAATACTTACAGAATTACATGACTAACGTTTTGTTAATGCACTTCGTTTAAGTATTTGCACGATTTGATGTTCAGTACATTAGTCGCAGCAAAGATGACAGCTAACAAGTGACTAGTATGACAATGTGGCATGAAGTAGTGTATCGTGTATCAAGTGGGATCAGGACGAATATCGGATTTATTATAATACGGTACAGTCATCGGCAGAATTGGTTTTAACCGCTTTTGCATAGGTGTTGATCCAAATGAAGGTGATCATTATCAAGTTTTTATCGTTTTATGACTAAAATTAACTGTTTTTATTTATATTTTTAATACTAAAGTTGTCAACCAATTCTGATGTAGAGTGTACAGAAGATATTTCGGTTTTGTGCCTGGTGACAAGTTTTAGTTTTGTATTTGTACGAGATAATCTGCCATCGACAATGGATTCCTAAACGTGTAAATGAAGGTGTCGCACAATGTTTTAATCTATAAACTACGTCATATATTTGAACTGTTGAAACTTACAAATGCATTATAGTTATATAACTTGTAATATCCTTTAAAATGCTATCGCTAGGCATAATCAATATGTCGATGACTGCATTATTTCTAAGTGGGAGTATCTTGTTATTCCTTAGTATAATAATAATTATAGTCAACAAAACTTTGGCTCGTCTTTAATTTACATCCTAAATGTTACTTTGAGGTATATTTTAGAGTTAACTCACAAAGCACTAAGATACTCCCACTCGGTACAAAACTGGGCCTCGGAATACATTACATGGCTCGAGTGGCCAGGCGACAAAACCTTTAAACAATACTCAGTACACGATTTAACAATTTGGGTAATCATTTAATGCAGAAATATATTTTCAAAGTTTACACACAATTCATCTTTATTTAGTTTAATCGTATTTAAATTTAAATAACGTAGGTATAAAGCACTTGGGGGAAGGACAGCAAATTCAATAAAAAATGTTTAATTATTATTTAGTATATATTAACTAAGTAAAAATTATTCGCTATGTAAATATTTTATACAATACTAGTATTAATTTGTCTGACGATGAATCGCTAGTGTTCTCCCAACGTGTAAGTTGAATACGAAACGGCGTCGGGCGGGGTCGGGCCGGGGCCCGCGCCCTCTCACCACGCGATATAACGTAGACTTTACGTAGTGCAAATTTAATATAGAAAGTTTACTTTTACAATACAGACTAGTAATTTCATTTTATGTAAAAATCCTAGCGCAAACGAGTCGTCCGGCACCGTCTCATACCTCGATCGCCCTAACCGTAATACAAATCAAGGAGTAAAATTTTAGCGAATTAAAAATTAAATTTTCCAAAACTTCGTAAATACTAGAATTCGGAGGCGGGCCGCGGCGGGCCGGGAGCGACGTCCGAACCGCTGAGCAACGGGAGTCGTCTATGTACACACGGTCGCCGAGTATAAAACGAGATCGTTCGGGGCGCTCGCGGGCGCGTCAGAAGGAGTGCGGCGCGGCGGGCGCGGGCGCGCGCCGCTAGCACCAGTCGTCCTCGTCCGAGTCGGAGTGGCGCGCGCGCGGCTTGTACCCGTTGGGCAGGCGCGGCGCGGGCGCGGGCGAGGGCAGCGCGCGCGCGCCGCCGCCCCGCCCCAGCGCCAGCGCCGCCTCGTAGCTCAGCGGCGCCTCGTACGCGCGCCCGGAGCCCCACTCCGCGTCGTAGCCCCGGCCGCGTCTGCACACGCCACGTCATTAAGCCATCCTCACACAGCACTTGTTTCGATGCTATATTGCATGCGGGGACGCCACAGTACAGTAAAAACAAAACAACTACAATACGCCGAAAAAAGATAGATTAAGCGGAAGCTCTATAATTACCCAGTTATCTTCTACTTGAAATTTACCTGCACTTTAGCACAAATCGAAAAAGCTCTCGTCAAAATATGCACGGATATCCATTCGTACTTAGCAGCAGAACAATCTCTGCCACAGGTCAAGCTCAAGATAGAATTAGCTGATATTACTGAGTTAACGTACTTTTTAATAACTGTCTAGCATAGCACAAGTTACTAATACATTACTGTAATCTTTGCAAAACAACAGAAACAAGTCTTGTTTATATATTGGCATGCTTTGAAACACTGCCAGTAGTATCTCACAAGTCACAACTATCAGTTCTTTATGATAATTATCAAAATATTTAAGACTAGCTTATTTTGCCAATTCATCATTTAAAATTAGCAAAGAGATATTGTTTTAGAGTACGTACCTTTCTCTAGATCTATAATCTCGGTGTATCAGTCTTTCAACTTCTCGGCCGTACTCGTACTCATCGTGTTGAGGCTCTAACGGTTCTCTGACTGTGTGCCTTAGCGATAACTGGAACAATATTTGAAATTATGTTATATAGCTTGAAATTTGTGAAATTAGTGGTTACACATGAATACAAGCACCATTATGTCTACCCAATATTGCCAATTTTTGTTGTGTTGATGAGCGTTATCCGTGGCTCACAGTCTCGTTCTATCGGTTTTCCCGTTCTTAGTGTGTTAGTAGTGTCATGAAACGCGAAATACTTACGTGCGAGGGGCTGTGGCTGATTCTGGTGAAGGGTGGCTGTTGCTTGACCTGTAGTGTGGACGGCTTGGTGGGCGTGGGAGGGAGCTGCCGGCCGCGGCCGCGCCGCGCGCCCTCGCGCTCCCACGACCGGTCGCGCCATTCCCGCCACTCGCGGTCCCGCTCCCGATCCCGTTCACCTATCGGGGCCCAAACTGCTCTCTGAATCATTTGATGTTCTATACTCGAATCAACAACGAGTTCGAGCTATGCGGTAATGATAAATATGATATAATAATTCATAAATAACAGGACGTTAGAATCAAATCAAGGAAAATAACAGGGGTAGAATCAAAGTATACCTATTTAGATGAATAATAAACAGATGTGCAAACAATTTTCTTGTGGATGTCCACCATGCTTTCCGTCTACACTCGCGCCGCTTTCATACATCTACAGACGTGCAAAGCCGGATCGCATCAACATCAATTAACTAATAATTTAGACACATTGCTATTCCAGCAAAGGGTCTTATGGGTCTAGAAATTTTAACAGATAGTGTGCCAATTGGAATTTTGTTTCAGACCCTTTGCTTTACAATCAATGACACTCAACATAAATAGTAACGCCCCACTGAAAATTTTGATAACAGCTGATAAGGTTCATGTTGTTCATGCCTTTTAATTTTTGTATCACGGGTAGAGGATGTATGTCCCTAGTTGGTTGATGTAATAAAGGTGAAGGTTTGTGATGTACTGTTGACAATATTTGCGAGTTTCAGCCTAGTCATAGTTAACAAGTTACCGTAACGTGCCTGTTCTTACACCTAAGTACGGAATGTTGTACTCGCAAAGCAAATATCGTGATGATAGTCAGTGTGGTATGTGAGGTCCGTTGTGTGTGGCGAGTGGATCTCACCGTAGGTGTGGTGTGGCGGGCTGGGCGACCGCGAGGGCTGGCTCAGGCTGGTCGTGGGGTGCGGCGCCCTCCACTCCTTCCCTGCTGTCAGGAATACCTTCATGTACCTTCCACCACGGTTTACCCTAAGCCCGTCGGACTACCGACCTTATTTCCTTGCTCACAAAGGTGACTCTAAAAGTTTTGGGTGTCTGTCATACGTGGTACAAAATGTAAGGATTTGATGGACACGGATTTGGATCGATAGGGATAGGTTTCTTGGTTGATTAGCTGTGTGTCCAAAGTTGTTACTACAATTGTTGGAGAGCCGAGAGCACAATACTTATATAATATACAATAGGTATAAACTGTTTATTACAATATGAGGTATTCTTTGATGTAACTATTAGTAGCAGGCTACTGCAGAGAATACAAAAATAAATACAAAATCTTTTAAGCTTTTGCATGCTGCATGATTTATGTGATATCTTTGAAGTGCATGCGTTCAGGCACCTCTGTCGCGAGGTGCCCATGATCAAAGCAATTGTATTATGTGCAAATAGGAGCAGAAATGTTTTGGTTGGGCACCAGTATTTTAGCATGCAGCAGGCAAATTAATTTCATTTGTTATTATATAATACAGGGCAGTTTATATAAACTTTACATTATATAATGCTTCATTTAGTGTACGTTGCGGCTCAACTATTGCCAATCTGGAATGACTTACATCTAAGAAATATGAGCGGCCTGGTGAATAAAATATTAATGATACCGCTAACAATTAGGTCACGAGCATAATATAGGAGCAGTCGTTAAATAGCTAACGCTACAAATATAATTTTACAAGACTAGCCTTGTGAGAATGTTATATTAAAGCTAGATTTTACAATCTAAGTATCTAGGTTGATGATCTTATCGATTTGCAGCGTAACTGCTTCGCTCGCTGACGTCTTATAACTACAACTACTAACGTATGATTATCTACAACTACAGTTAAGCTAGACTTCCCATCTTCTCACAAAACTTTCAGAGTACCTTCATGAGAAGAAAAATGTTTGCAAAACTGTTTCAGTTGGTTAGTTGAAGCTAAATAAAACATATTTGTATGTAAACGGTAAATGTTTTAGAATGAATAAATAATACTACAGGAATAACATAAGAATAAATAAATTATTAGCATGTAGCTCGTTTGTAAGGCTTATTTTATAAGTAGGTATGATAGATATTGTTGAAACGACGATGTCTTATCGAAATTGCAATAGCATCAAGCCATTTACTTGGCGATCGACAAATCTGTTGATAGACTATTAAATAAACAAATACACGGTATGATCTAAAATGAATATCTAGTAACTAATATGTCTAGTTGGAACACGTCAGGGGGTTATCACCAGATTTGCCTTGTTACATGTTTACATATCTGTTGTTAGAACGGGTACTTGATGATGGTAGTTGTTGCTTGTCTAGCGAGGTAACGAAACCATCACTTACCATGCGGGTGGTAGTAGTGGGGCGCTCTATGCGTTCGCCCGTGTCTTTGATGTTCGTGCTTTACTATCTCGACGACGTTGCTGACGGTGTCGGAGAATCCAATATCGTGATGATAACCTCCGTAGTGGCCTCGTCTTCTTGGACTTGGTGTCCGTCTGCAGAATAAATCGAATTAAATTATAGAAATACTAAATGGCAACATTCATTTACCATGCATGTTACCAATCATGCAACACCGAGAAAATCGGGGAGAGAAATTGGTTAGTCCTGAAGAAAGTACATTCGGTTAGTAGAAGATGTGTATCATGGCACATACCATTGTTCACTACGATAACTTTGAGATCAATGGACTCTTCTTCGATGACACTATAAACATAAAAAGGAAATAACAAACTGAACAATAAAATAAACAGAACGTGATATTTTTCTGTAGTAAAATATTTACCTTAAACTCGATGATCTTCCATGGTGACCGTTCTGGTACGTGTGAGGTGCTTGTAACCGCCCCTCGTCCAATGACTCCATTGAGGCGTGGTGCGATCCTTGCAGCTCCAATACCTACAACAGTCCTTGTATTAGGGCCGAACACAGCCAGAAAGTTGTCAAAGCGTTAGTTTGCAAGCTAATTAAGACTCATTAGACTTACTGTCCCATATTTACAAAATTTCTGAATTGTTATAAAAACAAAAATACCAAATCATGCACACGAAAGTGCTAAACCTTGCATTCCATGCAACAGTCCGTGCTTGTGCAATATTATACTATACGCTACTTACCCAGTTCGTTAAAGATATCTATGTTTTAAAATCTACAAACATGCTAAGTTTAGTTCACATGCAAAACGTATTCCGGTAAAGAAACGACATGTCCTGGTGTCATGTATTATGACTGTTATGTAAGTATGTTCATGTATTGATTGTGAAAGTGCTATGTCTAAGAAAAGTTTCAAATAGTCATCCCTAATGACAGAAGAGTCGTTTAAAAACCATTCCCTATAAACATCGAAGAAATAGAAAAAGAAAGACAAAAAGTACTACAAGATTGGCATAGAAAAACAATCATCTATTACTGAAATTGTTTACCTAAACATCAACAACCATCTGTAAACTTTAAATTGTACGATTAATACTTCGAGTCACATAAATTGATTAACTATGAGCCTAAGGCCCTAAGTTACTCTGTTTACGACAATAATGCCTAGAAAACGGTTAATATTAAGTCTAACAACAAACATTATAATCCTATGATATCAATGTTAGTAAACACCCAAAACAAAGCTTTGAACATAAAATTACAACATCGACTATCTATGACATAAGAAAATGCATCGATGTATTGTTTTACTAAAGGGGGACACCCATTTAGCGGATACACATATAACATCACATTTTCGACCAACATCACGTCTGGGGTATAAGATTGTCCAATTGTCACTTTACTCATATCAAATTGTTGTAAAAAAATTTTGTTCGTGATAATGATATTGGTGGGGACATCGATTGCACTAGACAATGGCTATCATGGCTCTGGCTGATCAGGTTTACAACAGTAATGATCGAGTCAACATAATCACCGTTTCACTTAAGGTAGTCACCTTTTTATTGTTCCTGAAACAAAAGAGAACCGCAATGAAGTACACGTGTTAGGTCAAAAACGATTTTCATAGTTTTTTATGTAATCATTGATAGATTACTTAAAAAAGAAGCAACGGAAAATAGTATTGTTAGATTTTTAATCGCAATTTTATAGATATATTGATACTAATAACATAAATGGACAACTCGTAGTTGTGCAATAAGTTAATCGCTGCTTAATACGTTGCAATAATTTTGTTCAGATTTTTTCATAATCCATGGAACTAATGTCATAGAAGAGCTTTATTTTGTTGTTTAGTAAAGTTAATAAAGTAAGATAACTCACTTGAGCGACTTTCTGTTGCCGCGTCTGGCGAGGTTGGCTAGCAGATGCGGGTCTTCCGGATGTCCATCAGCGTTGACGGGCCCTTCATGGCTGAGCGAGCCGGCCCGCGAGCCAGGGCCCAGCCCCGCCGCCACGTCCATCAAGCAGTTAAACAGTGACGCCTTCTACACACGCACCCCACATCACGCATCCCCCCCACACACGCACACTTGCGCATGCTCATGTCACACAGCGTCCAAGCTCAATAGGACTCAATAGTCACTAACGGCTAAAGCCTACATGAGTTTGCGCAAACATCCCATACATCATGTCCATGCTGGAGTTCTCTTTAAATAGTGTCATGTGTGTATCGTCTGTGTTAGAGATCCAACGGATGGACAATGGACATACAACCGAATTGAGAATGTATATATTGTAGTGTATGTGAGGAATTCAGCTACAGGTATCTGAGAAAACAGCTATCACACGTTAGTTGTATAATGTTAGAGTAAATTTTGTTCAGTCCATGTCGGTAAAACCGTGAAAGAGCTGAAATTACAAAGCATCTTGTACCGAAACGAGTGCTATATCATTATAAAAACCTTGTGCGCAAAATTTGAAGCCAGAGGCAGAGGTTGCGAGTTCACGATTGCATTTTACATCTCAGAAAAATATATTGCGGTAGTCAAGTGACAAAACTTTTATATTTCATATTCTCCAGCATGCGCAGACTTGAGAGTAAATAATGAACGTTATTTTTATAAATTCTTATGCTATGGTATAAAATCATAGAAGGCAAATAAGAGCGGTAGGTAGCAAGAAAGCGCAATATTTTAACGTTTCTTCATCACCAGGCTTCTAAAATGGTAAATATCGATTGAGCCAAAATGTAATCAAAAATAAACTTTACGATAACAAAAGCGACAGAATTAAATAAATACCGGTTGAAAAGTTTGAAACGCATTTATCATGCAGGCTACCTAAGACTTGTTTAAAATAAATGGATCACAATAATCTAAAATGCAAAGTGAAGAGACTGAACAGTTTATGTAGGAAGTAGCAAGAGGCAAAGGGGACGATATGACACACATTGGTAAGACAAACAAATCTACAAACAGTAGGATATTCTATCTACGCGACACGGTATCAAACATTGTAACACACACATTCTTGTTACTACTACATTATTTTGCAACTATAGGACAGGTATTTATGTCGTGGTTTACAAAGCCCTGACGGACACTTGATCGACAAACGTGCCACACCTGCACAAGTTTGCCTAACTAATGTGTTATCAAGTGCGTCACTAGTACTAAATCTAATGTCTTTAATCAATTCAATCGCTAAACTACAGTTTTATTTCTTGGATTTATATTTCGACCATTCATTTAGTCTATATAGGCCATCGTGTATTATTTAATGTATGTTTTAAAAATAAATTTATTTAAACACAATGCGAGAAGAAATTTATGATAAAGAAAAATATCTAGAATAGTGCAAGAAAAAAATTATTCAAAGTTTCGTTCCGTAAAATATTTTAATACTACCGGCTGAATGGCCGTAGGGCTATTCTCGTTGAATGCCTGAAAAGTAAACCACCAATGTAGTCGACTCGTTATGAGTCGATTTCAACTAAAGTGATTCTGTATTGTTGTACTCTTTGTTATACAGACATTTGTTCATGGGGAGCCAATCACAAGTTATGAATACTCAACACAGGAACAAGGTTATCGATACAATTGAAAGATTTTAACATGGTTCTGTAAATGTACACAACAATACAACCACGGGTAGACAACACAACCAACTCTATTGAACTAACTATAATGTTTCCAAATTGTAATCTAATGTGGGGAATTATAGGGGGCCATCAACAACCACTACTTGTAAACGTGTAGTATTACCTACCCACGTAACGGTTACATTTGGCTCAAAGTGTACATATATACATACTGGCGTAAGCCACACGAATTTACTCTGGCTTCATTTGGATCTACTAAACTTACTATATTGATAATTTCATCAAATATTCCATTATTACACATAAATACAAGTGTGAAAACAAATTTACTCAGAGGTGCGAATAAAATGGCAGTTGTACTTACCGGAACACCATTCTGCTTGAACCTTGTCGATCTCCAGCTCTCGAGGATCAGTAGTCCAGCATATATCTTCCCAACTGTCAGTTTCCCAGCGTTGAGTACATCGTTTCGAGGCACCAGCAAGTCGAGCATCTTCTTCGCTTGTAATGGCCATATGTGGGTTATCGTTTCCCTTAATTCCTCATCTGCTTGGTCCATCTCGTCCGCTAGAATATAAAGCTCACATATAGGTTCTGTTGTAGATTTTTAGTCCGTAAAAATTGATATCCAATATTTTTTTTAGCAAATTAGCATTATTAAATACTGGTGAATCGGTGATACTTACGAGATCTCATCTTGATGTTTAAATTTTCTCGTATTAAGGCAAATAGTGTTGTTGTAAAATTAACTTTCCCCTCATCGTCTAGCGGCATATTCATTCTAATAAGCTTCTTATATGCTAGTCTATTTGGACATTTATTACCAAACCCCAGAGGTGGATCCATATTTTTCAACATATCATACATTTCTGTATAATGGATCTTACCCCTGAAACGAAATGTGATAGATTATTGCTTTAAAATATACTGATCGAGTCTATAAATAAAGGGTTAGTAATATTCTGAATAATACTAACGTGGCGTTTGGATCGTATTCTGCCCATATTCTAACAAATTCATCAAGATGATGTGCTCCGAGGATGGACGAGTCCCTCGTTAAGTAGTCAAAGTTATCCATAATTACGGCAACGAACAAATTCAACATCTGAAAGCATATCATGTATTAAAAAATACCCACCCATGTTAAAAATGTATCAATTTTATATCATTGTTATACTCACAAGAAACGAACAGAAGAATATAAAAGATACGAAGTAGGCATAGGCGAGCGTACTTCCACATTCTTCGTTGGAGGCCTTTCCTGCTGCTATGTCGCACTTGGCGGGTTTGCGGCAAGCCAACATTATGTTTGGCCACGACTCACCCGTCGCGCATCTACACATACAGTGGCTCACAGAAACCGTTCTCATGTTCAAAAAACCGTTCAAGAAATCACAAATGCAATGAAGAGTAGTATAAAAAAGATGAGCATTTCCAGAAGTAGTATAGATAGTATATTGATATTGTATTGATCAATTCATGATAAAAATCGATTTGCAACAGACTGTTCTACACGTTTCCACAACTAAGTAACAGTGAGGATGTAAGTGATGAAGTAGTTCTTTATAGCTGAAGTGCATGCATGAGACGTGCTTGATACAACAATGGTTATACTATAATACTCCCATATTCCATCGAGAAGCGAATTCGTTACGAGTATTTCTCTACAAGTTCGTAACATTTATACTACACGTAGGTATTGCTCTATTGCTTTGATTTGAATTGATTGGAGCAGTCTAAATGGTGTTTTTGATATCTAGATGTCTGTATATTCCTATGTATATGTTTAAGGTATGTCCTTTGTCTGGATTTACTTGTATTCAATGTTCCTTACCTGAACAGTAGCATGAGTGCTTGAATGAAGCTTCGAAAATTGTTGTGTCTGTTCATGTCAGACTCTGGTGTTAATTCTATATTGCCAAACACCTGTGTCCAAGCAGATACAACACAGTAGGTCAGCTTCATATGCAAATAATAACACGTAGCCCGACTCCTATGCTTAACCCCACAAACAAACGCTACCTAATGACGTATCTATCTAGAACTAGCACTAGGGTTACGACAAACGATATCAAACAAGGGTACCAAACTATCTAGAGATACAAACAAGAAGCAATCTCAAAGTTAAGGACACCAATTAGGATATTGTCACCACTAAGGATTGTCTAAATCTACAATTTGATTATATGAATATATATATTGATGAGAGTAGTATTGCCAATGATAATGATAGTAAGTACATATGTAACACTTATAGTAGAGACAGATTTTCGGCAGTGGCCGCAAGACTTAGTAACAGCTACGTCTTTTGTACTCTCACCGAAATAGTAGCAAGAGTGCCGCCACGAAAGATTGGAAGTTGTTATGCCTGTTGATAGCATCATCTGGATCATATTGTATGTTTCCGAAAACCTGTCATTAGAAACTTATCAATACCGTTTTATATTTAATTATGTCCAATCTTAGAATGTACTCACACTACTCATTACTGGTACGAGTCCGTCTAAGATGAATTGTCATTATTATAATCTCATTCATCTTAGGCTGGCTTATAAAGTTTTTGAATTTTAAAATAAAATTCTACTTCACTAAATACGATTAGGTTTTGGAATAAGTAATGGAATTAGGCATAAGGTTGACAATACTTGGGTTATCTAGGAATGTTTTAATTTTATCTATTATTTAGTACTATGATTATTAAATGGACTAGAATACGCTATGCTTGACTATGTTTTTCTAACAAGAGGAAAACTAATTATGTTTTCTGATATTTGTACGAACCCCTCAAAAACTATTCTATGTTACCAGGGGAGGATTTACAACATTATCACAAAAGGATTAGGATTCATATTTCTACGGAGAATCCACATCCTAGCATTACGCTAGTATTACCTAGACCTAGGTATTTCTATGAGACCCTAACGCTACTAACTATAGAAAATGTACAAACTAGGAAACTTTATTCTGACCACAACTAGTTTCATTAGTGAACAATTAATTACGTATTCAAAAATCTATAAAAACTATTTCAAGTAGAATAATATATAAAAAATACCCCCAAAAGTACCTATCAGACATTTCGTTAAAATTTCTTTATCATTCAAACATTTTAAATTAATTTGTATTACAAAGAGAATTAATTAGGAAATTGATTAGGAATTGAGAATTTGAGAAGTAACAGGAGGAATTCCAACAGACCTGCATCCCGATGATGGCGTAGATGAAGAATAGCATCGCGATGAGAAGGCACACGTAGGGTAAGGCTTTGAAACTCTGCACGAATGTCCAGAGGAGTATCCGAATGGTATATCCCTGTCGGAGCAGCTTGATCAGTCGCGCGGCTCGGAACAGGCGAAGGAAACCGACGTTGAATGTGTTCTCCTGCGAATGACACAACAATTTACATAACCTAACTAAAAATGATCTACTACCAAAATAATAAAAAATATCACTCCAAAAATTTAATCCACTTTATTGGAACAAACGTCTCAAAACAAGCTGAAATTTCAGCCAGCATACTCCAATCTAGAATTCCAAAGTTTAAAACTAACCACAACGTTCAAATAAAACTAGTCAATGAGATAATTACTAGAATAAAATCACCAAATAAATAAAATAATAAATTTTGCATAAGTTAATGAAAAATATGTAAATATAAGTGTAATGATAATTTTTATTTAACCAGCTACTGTTTGGTAGAGTATAGAACAAAATCCAATACGCTTTTATAAAATAAAAAAAAAGATAAATATTATATACTTATAAAAATCTAGCAATAGTAACGATAAAATTTAAATGTTCTAAGGTTTCATGGAAATAACACACCAATTTATAATTGTTATAGCTAAACCAAACACAATTGGTCCCTAGCGAACAACGGTACCTACGGTATAACTACAAAACTGCTATATATCCTAATATTCTAAAAATATTGTCTAGCACTACTGGTATTGGAGCACAGTCCAATAGTATGTACACAGTCTGTCTAAACCACTGACCAATCCGTTACAAAAATCTAAGATTCCTAGCAAAATCAAATAGTTGATTTGTTACCTGCTGACAGGATATGTCAGCACAGTTTTCAGCGAGGTCGGTCTGTAATCAGGATAGATCCTTAATCTTCATTTTCATCATAGTTAAATATACTTATAAAATTGCCAGCAGCAAAAAAGGATCGGGTAAGGCGAAAAATAAAATTAGTAGAACAAAAATATAAGTAGAGAAGCTGAGAACGATAAATATAAGGAGATATACAATACTTACGCCAAACTCCATAATGAGGGCGTCAATAATACTTCCAATGACCGTTATGAAATCGAATGTATTCCATGGGTCTTTGAAAAAATTCTGGAAACAGACCGATATGTTAGCATACATTCTGTAAAGTCATAAAATATTTTATATAAAAAATAATTAATTAGGAAATCAGTATACAAATGTACACTTTCCATTAATAGACTGTTTCAAGATCAAAGGACTTTTCAAACAAGGAAAGGAATGAGGAAATCTCTCTTTAACTCTTTTATCTATGCAAATACATAAAATGTTATTGATAAATCTAATAAAAGTTAATGCATTTAAAAACCTATGTCATATTAAAAAGCGTAATCTCTGAAATTCTCTATAAAATGAATTCTAAATTTAAATATATTCAAGTCAATATTGAATATTAATAGCTAGGCTAAAATATTTATAAAATAATGATAGTGTATTGTGTTAGGCGCACACGATTGTAATTGCACATTCCAATGCATTCGTTACTTTCAAATAAGTACATTTGCAGCACAAACTTTAATTAATCTCAAATCAAATACATTTCAACAAACTTTCTTGCCTACAAATTGATTCTTGTTTTACATACCCATGGCTTCTTCATTTTAAATAAATAATAAAGCTATCATGTTCTTATTAAATGATAAAATAAATTATTGATTAATTAGTATAAAAATTCAAAGTGTGTTAAATTCTTACCGTACACCCGAAGGCGATCAGCTTCAAAACGGTCTCGAGAAGGAAGAAGGTCGTAAAGACGAGGTTCATGAATGTTAATATGTCCATGAGTAGTGGTGGAGCCTCGTGAAACTACCACAAAATCAATACCATTTTTTTAAACCTTAACTCAAATCATTATTAAATTAATTCAACTTAAATGCAAGACCACCATTTGGCAATAGTAGGTACTTAATTTGTTTTATTTTACAAAATAAATTTCTTATAAACACAAACTTAGTTAGAATTTAACATAATACTGTGATGTTCTTGCATTTGAGTTTGTATGATTAAAAATAATTTTATCTATCCGATATTATAATCTAATAAAACAATGTATTGTTATGTTGACATATTTCATGTAGACGTGGGTGTGTTAGTATTATTATTTGTGTTATGTTCCTTCGTTGTCGATGAGTATCATGTGTTACTGAGATGTATAGCGAGAGTTGTGGCGGGGTGCTCGTGCGGCATGCTGTCCCGAATGTACAAACATGCGAACAGGTGTTATATGACAGACAACACTGATTACAGGAAAATATATCAAACAAACTTCATACTGACCTTTTCAACCGCAGATCTCCGCCAGATTTTAAAAAATCACAGTACTTACCTCTTCAAACGCTCGGCAAGTATGGATTAGTAAAATCGGGAGAAATACAACATTATAACGCGTGTATACACATACAATAGTGCTACATGCAGCAGGAGAAGAAGCCATGCTTAACAATTATTGCAAATAAATCTTTACAATCATCGTCGTCAGAGAGAAACTAATACTGGATAATTGGGAAGGGAGAGTAATTACACGGCTGGAAATAATCCCATACAGTCATGTAAATAGATAAAACAATCACGTTAATAGCAGAAAGAGTACATTTGTACCTATACCGTATTCATTGACTTCCATCATGTCGTAGTATGTGTCGGTCGACAGTCGATACATTGTGTTTGTGTACTTACTTTGACACCATAAGCGATGATTTTCAACACCGTTTCCACAGAAAACATTCCAGTAAACCCCATATTCGAATACTTGAGGACATCCGCGTAGATGTCATTTTGATTATAGTACTGCCATTTTGTGATGAAGTGCCGGACGGTATGGATAACCCCGAGGCAATGAAAATACATAATTGTTACTTTATAATTTACCTCATCCATATCAAGTATTAGTATTTTAATGTGATGTACAACATTGAATTGTATGGAATCAATGTAAGTTGGTAGATTAGTTATGTTACGTCTCATGTAACGTACAACAGTAATACATAATATTAGAAGGAATAAATATGTATACCAAGGGGAGAAGTGATAAGAGTTGGTGAGGATTATGTGCGAAGAAATTATTTTATTAGTCCAACATAAAAATAGACAGGGTCACAGAGAAATTAAAAGCTTTAATCATATATATTGTTATATAAAAACAAATACATATAGTAATAATATAAAACATAAAAGAAACACAAAAACAAATAAACAAAATGGGGTAAAACTAAAAATAGTGTTATAAATTTTGACCACGTAATATAACTTTAATTTCTTTCAAAAATTTTGTCTCAATTAGAAAAATGATCTATTTTTTATCAATTTTCCAATAAATATACAAAGCAGCCCATAGCCACCAACAAATCACGCCTGGCAGTAGGCCATTCCACCAAGCATGCACAATATCCACATAAAGACAATTAGGAATAGGTTTTAAATAAGATCATGCAACACGAACAACATATATGGCCCATGCCACGTCCTATCTATACCCAGAGATTGTAGTGCATTCACAAGCACGAATAACCGAATAAAAATGTTTGGTGTATCTTGTGCCAAAAATGTGCTGGAAGGACAGGTATATCGTGCAGTAAACACCGATACATACATATTTAATTAATAGCAAGCGAGGATTAACGAAAGGATCACAACGAAACACGGGATCAAAATTAAAATGATAATTTGGCGGTTGGTACATTTGACGGGATAGGCTCGGTAAACTTGAAATACGGCGCATTCCGATGCAGTGTATACTGACGCCGAATATAACAGTGATATCGTAAACACTCTGTATGTTGTGTGTACGTGTGTGTGGTGTGAGTATTGAGATACCTAAACGGTAGGCAGTACTAATGTCGTGCCAATGTTCTAGTATTGTGACGTCGTCCATAGTATGATTGTTTAACACTTAAAACAGACGTTACACAACTAAGAAATCATATTTCTAAAGGATCTATCAGGTGCCAACAAATATTAGACGCATGTACGACAAAGGTTATGTCTTAGTTTAATATTTCGCCAAACCAGAGAGCTTATGACTTACATTAATGAGCTCTCTAGATTGGTACTGTGCAGGCTTCAGTGAACTCAAGGATTGGTTGCTAATCTAGATCGTCACTTTCAGTGCCTTGTGAGACAGGCTAGGTTCTTCAGCAACTACCTTAAATAAGTGATCATTTGCTACTTTCCACATTTAGTGCTTCTCTTGTTTCGTATGTAATTTGTATGATCACTTTTAGAAAGTGTTTGTACTTATTGAATAAAGATCTTTATTAATATTATGATAAGATTAATATTACTTAATCTTAAATTAATTATTCTAGAACATTTAGAAGCGTCGGTGATACATACCTTCATCATGAGCAATAATGTGTTGAGGACGATAAGGGTCATGATTAAGTATTCGAAAGGCGTAGAGACGACTAATCTCCACACTTTGTACTTAAAACTCGCCCTTTTACTTGGCATATACCTCTCGAGAGGTCTCGCTTCTATCGTGAAGTCTATACACGATTTCTGAGGACAAAGACAATGAAGCCGTTGAAGAAGAAGAATATTTGGCATTCTTCTTTGAAAACTTATAAGTTTTAGAAATCTTACCTGATTCTTATCTATTTCACCATCCTGCAATTCAGCTTCACCCTGCTCTTGAAATGTAATAATAATCAGAGCTACGAATATGTTAACGAAGAAGAAAGGAAACACCACGAAGTAAACTATATAAAATATGGACATTTCTATTCGAAAATTTTGTATGGGTCCCCTGTCTTCGTACGTGGCGGCCATTGAGTTTTGTAGTACTCTGTAAACAAAGATAATCTTAGTATTAAGAAAGTGACAAAACATTTAAAAAAAAATCAGAAAGTGAAATTTAACACTTATTAATGTACTGGATAAACTGAACAAATGACTTAATAGTGAATTATAAATATGGTCATAATGATGATGACCGTAAACTTGTTATGTAGATACCAGTACATCAAGCTATACAAACTGTATAACTTTAATAGATATTGTACATTATAACAATACAATAAAGTTAAAAGTAAAAAGAAAACATTACGAATTGGAATATTTTGAGCTTAAACTTTACATAACATTT